AAATTAGCAACCAATAAACAAAGGTTTAGTACAATGTAATGAATATTATAATATTATCTTTTTTATAGTGATCATTAATACATTACCAGGTCTGAAATTATTAGGGGGGTCAGTCTAGAGTTTGCCTCACTGAAAATTTTGGTCAGCAGTTGCAGCAGAGAATAGGCATATCCCATCAACATTACATAATCACAATTGTCAAAATACACTGTTTTTATTGCGCATCCACAATATGTACTTTTTAATAAAGCATTGACCTTTTACTGGGTCCCTTTCATGAGAAAAGGAAGAGGCTATTAAAGCAACAGTGACCTGACCACTTCATATTAATGGTTTCATAATGAAGATGTTGAACAAGCCACAAGAGAGGCCATTGGAGGGAGGGGTAAAATCTTTTTACCTAACTGGGAAAAAAGTACTCTTTTCTGCTTTCAAACAAAAAGAATACAGTTGTTATCCAAAGGGGTGTAGGAATGTTTGGGCTCTGAATTTACAAGTCATGGAAACTACACACTAAGCTCAGTCTTTCAATCTGCTTATTTAGTAAAAATAGCCTAAAGTGTACCTGACATAACTAAAGTTTAGCCTAAGTTGTTTAAAATGCTTTGAACACGATTTGTTAACAATTATACAAAAAGCAACTTTGATTTTAAAAGTTAAGTCACACCTTTTTTTCCTGACAATCTTAAACTTAGACAACACTAACGACTAATTGAAGGAAGCACAGCAAAACCCAAAACACAGAAATAATGATCAATAATTAGAAAAATACGAATAACAACAAGAAGGAAGCTGTGAAACAAATCAAAAGCAGTGAATAGGTGTCTTACCAAAGACGCGCATCCGTCCTTGCTGGTGGCACACGGATCCCACAAGAACTCGGTCCACCAAGTGATCCAGGGACAGCTGTCCCTTTTTAGGACTGTCGGCGTCTTTGGAAGCCAATAGAGCCACCGTGCCGCTGTCTTCTCTATGGTACATTTGTGTTACATGCGATGACTCCATCATTCCCAGGACTGTGCCAGGACACAGGATAGGGTGAACATATGGACTTTGTTGGAGTGCTTGCCGGCGCGCCAGTCAGTTCTCGTTTTGATTAGTTACAGCCTTATAGAATCATTCCCTTTATTTCCCCTTATAAAATTATTCCCTCAACTTGTGAGAGCTAACACAAGTGAGAGCGACTAAAAAAGAAGCCGACGACTTTCACTGAAGATACTTATTTCCCCAATAATTTGTGTACATAGGGATATATATATATATATATATATATATATATATATATATATATATATATATATATATACACACACACACCTATAGATCCACTCACTTATAATCTATTCCTCGGCGGCAAGGTCGGACCACCCTGACAGACGCCCAGTTCAGGTTGAGACCGTTTAAATTATCTAGCGACATCTATTCAGAAGTTATAAATATTGAAATATCCGAACGGTTCAGCGGATAAAATACAGACTGTTGGCTCCCGTTTGCTAGACAGATACTTTTAGTTCCCTTTTACCTACTACCAATGAATAAATCCTATTTAAACTTTACTATTATGCGGTTATTTTACTCTAATCATTACTTAAAATTTCCTTAAAGGATTAAAAAAAAAATGCAGTAGGTATGTAAGGTTTGCGTTTCATATGATCTAGTGAGTCAACTGGAAACTTCTTAAGAGTTTGATGGCAGCTGCTGCTCATGTTCTACCAGCCCGTCTAACATATCAACAAACTTCACGCCGCTTACTGTAAACTTTCTGATCGTGATCGCGTAATAGAAACGTGCAACGACTTTAAGAAAAAAATGAAAAAGTTAATTCCCGATCCTCAGTGTCACCAGAACTTCCCAAGAATATCTTTCATTTGAAAGAGTTGAAAAAATACCATGTGAATTTAAAAGTCAGAGCAGCTGCGCACGCTTGTTTCGACAAAAGACCTCGGGTGCGTTCAGGGAAGACAAGGGGATATAAGAGCGGCTCGATTTAATGTCGGGCAAATCCGTGGGTCACCGTGTTACAGGCATACCAATCAACGCAATGCCGCCCGATCAAGCACGCACTCAGCTTTTCAAATTTCCTGCATAGTCACCAAATCAAGTAAAAGTATTTTTATTGTCGTTTCAGCTATATGATACATGGATAATACACTGATTATACACATATTATCCCATAAAACAGTAAAATCTAAACTTCAAAACATACATAAATAAGATGTAACATATAGTTAAAATGCCTGATTGTATAGGATAATTGTACAATTGGATACTGGAATCGAACAAATAAATGAAAGAGATGTGCAATAAATGGGTCTAGGTAAAACATAAAATATTAGGACTACCAGTTTTTTACAGGTTGTCTGAATGCAAGCCACCTATAGGCTTTCAAAGTTACTTAACTTTAACCTTTTCATCTTATTGTATTGTGTAACATTATCTTTTATTTTAATGATTATGATTGTTTACATCATCAAAACCAAGGTAAAGTATTTGAGCTCTAAGAAATGAACTGAAATTAGCCTTGAATATTTATAAAACTATTAATAATTTAAATCTAAGGTTAGGAGGCTATCATGCAATGGCAATAAGAAAACAAGTGAAAGTCATGCCATAGAAAAAAATAATTTAAAAACACATTATCGTATATAAGAATCTAAGGCAAATTTTTAAATACATTTTATGTTTACATTATCTTATATTTAGATAACATTTGTGCTAAAAATGATCCATACATGAGGTACATAATACATAAGGAGCATACAGTTGTCAAAAAGCCAAATTAGGTACTTAGCAAGGCCAAACTCCAAGTGTTCTAGGAATGCTGGATGCTGACTACCCTTGTGCTCTGACCCCAAGCATTGCTCTCACCAGTACTGTATGTGTCTGTGTGTCACATGAAGAGCAAGATGAGATATGTCAGAACTAATCAATTTCTCCACAGGGATGAATAAAGTATCACCATTCCATATATTCTAAGTGTCCAATGATTGAGTAGAAACAAGGATAACATATAAAATGAGGCATGTGAACAATACTAAGACCTAGCATCACCTGCTTGTAGTTACTATCTCTACACCTTACACATTTTGCTTTGTTGTGGCATCGATTAATGTGCAAACATTTATCCAGTTGGAAGATGGCAGTTTAATCCCTATGATCTTCTGGGCTGACCATACAACCTTTATATAGTTTTACTGTTCCATGCTGTGGGTCCACCATGCTATGTGGTAATAGCTTTGGTCGGGACGCTTTTGATGTTATTGTGGTAGAAGTTGGTAGCTGTGGCCTCACTTATCCACTACTTCCTTAGCTGTTTTAAGAAGTAAAGGTGCTCATTTTAAAATGAATTTGAGGAAGCACTTCTTTATACAGCGTGTATTTAGAGTATGGAATAGTCTTCCTACTAGTGTAGTGCAAGCTAAAACCCTGGGTTCCTTTAAGTCAGAGATAGATAAGATTTTAACAACTCTGAGCTATTAGTTAAGTTCTCCCCAAACAAGCTTGATGGGCCGAATGGCCTCCTCTCGTTTGTAAATTTCTTATGTAATGGTTCAATGTCCTGTTTCCGTCTTCCTACCTGATATCTGGAGGTTGCAGAGCCTGAAGCTGCTGACAGTTTCCACTCGAGAGCTATCAATCCACATCTTTCATTTGTCACCCTCACGCTGGGATTCACAGTCATCTATCTACTGTATCTATCTATCTATCTATCTATCTATCTATCTATCTATCTATCTATCTATCTATCTATCTATCTATCTGACACTCAGCCATTTACCACACATTGCACATGATGCTCTTCTGCACTTTACTAATTGTACATTCTTATTTCACAACTGCGTTCACTTTTGCACATACATAGATTTGTCAAATGTTTATGTTTTATATATTTACACTTATAATTTGATTGTGAATTCATGCTATACTATAGCTGCTTCGAGAGGCTTTGCACACAAGCATTTCACTCACATGTATAGTACTTGTGTGCTGGTGACAAGTGATGTGACATTAAAAGTGATTTGATATCTATCTATGTATCTATCTATATTTCTTTATTTATTTGATTATTTATTTATTTTAATTGACCCTGTGTAGAGTTAGTATACGTCCGGTTTTCCCACGACACATCCTCTTTTTGGGTTTTAGTCCAGGAGTTCGGATAGTTTTTCAAAAATCTGTGGTTTGTCCAGGTTTAGCGCTGCCATCTATATGACACAATATTGCAAGTTACAGTGCAAAGTGAAGGAAAAGGCACCAGTTTTCAATATACGGCAGCCACTCAGTATCCCACCATGTTTGCAAGGCTTGTGCACACGTGTACATTAAAAATCAAATGATATGCCACCCTGATAAGTCACACTGCTCACAAGTGACATTAACTTCCAGAAAGTTTCCAGAAGTTGACGTCACAAACACTTTAAACATTTCATTTGTGACATTTATTGAGGGACAGAGTTCTCACCAGATATGGTAAACGTAACCCTGCATATAGTATACCATACTCTCTCAAAGCACAGACTTGTGTCCTGTGCTGCACAGGACAAGTTTGTAGCTTCATCTAGTGCAAGCATAACGGCAAACTGAATAGTGATTGCCAGACAACTACATCACTGCAAATGCCCTGGGCTAATTTAACAGTATATCAAGTTTATCTGTCTTGCAGCCATTAATCTAGTACAGGCTCAATATTCAGTCTGTGAAGATATCCACTTAGTGAGAAGAAAAAAAACAGTTTCAGTGTATATTGAGATATATGTTAGGCAGGGCTGAGCAGAGGGTTTTTGAAAGGCAGGTGCTCATTGGGTACTCTGTATCTTTAAACTCACGCAAATTTCCTCGGCGGCAGCAGAACAAACCTCTGATAAGCGTTGACGCGACTTCAAGTATCGCGGTAATTCAATCTAGCGTGCACCGGAAGTGGTTTGTTCATGTTTTATAGTACCGTGTTAGCGTACAGATGTAAAGTGGTATGTGATACATAAATGTATATGGTTAAATATCACTATAAATCGTTTGTTTATACGTTTACCTTCTCATTTAAAAAACACTACTCTGGTGTTATTTAACTTACTTATTTTCACATTTCGAAATATAAAATCTGATAGGAAAGTTGTACACCGTATTGGCTAGCTAGGAAGCTAGTGGGTAACTGGCAGCGCTAGCTAAATATTGTTTGGTTAGCGGTGTTCTATTTTCAAATGAGTAATTTTGGTATCTCAGGTAACATCACTTATGGGTCACCTGTTAAATTACTAATTGGATTCAGTTTTCCAAGACTGGCCGTATCGCACATTAGTTAAAACTTTGCCTGCATTAGACTATTATTGTCTCATTGTAACTTGCCTGCGTGATGTGATTTTGTTAGGTTGAGTGCATTGTGAAATAATTCACTAATTGCATTAAAGACTATGATCAACCTGTTTGTACACGGACAAACGTGTCCGTGGTAAAACTCGTCTGTGTACGTAGCAAAATGATTAAGAAAAGAACGAAAAAAAATATGCAAGATACGTTTTCTAATACGATGGTCGTGGTGAAAGTCGCGTTTTGATCAAAATGTTCGTCAGAATTCGCCATGGTGTTGACCCTTGTCTGAACCTAACAAACAGCATTATGTACGTTTGTGTAACCTTAGGATTATTTCACGTCTTAAATCAACAGGGAATTTGGATTCTGATGGGGGACATAAAAAATTTCCTCTATGCCTGGTGTGGGAAAAAGAAATTAACACCAAACTATGAAATCCGTGCTGTTGGTAACAAGAACAGGCAGAAGTTTATGTGTGAGGTAAGAGCAGTCATGCATGTATAGTAGTAAAATGCAACAGTTATAATAAATGCTAAACATCGTATGCTGCTTTCTGCATAGGTTTGTGTGGATGGCTTCAGCTACACTGGAATGGGGAATTCCACCAACAAGAAGGATGCTCAGGCCAACGCAGCAAGAGACTTCGTCAATTTTCTTGTCCGTGTTGGTGAATTGAATGCTGCAGATGTTCCTGCTATTGGGGTTAGTTCTAGCTGCTGTTTCAAAACACTTTTTCTTAAGAAAGTGAAATATTTTGTTTAGTTTGTCACTATGCTTCTTCTACAGGTGTCTGTAAATGAGGTAGATGCAGGCAGAGGGGTAGCGGATGGGTTTGGAAATCTGCCTTCAAATGGGCCTCTTCCCCCACATTTAGTTGTCCAAGCTGATAAAGGTATAATTTCTATTAAGAAAAATCGGGATTGACTTTTTTTGTTTCTTGTTTTTTTGCAACTGTTTGTTTTATGTTTAGATTTTAACTGTTTAATTGTTGCAACTGTTTATAATGGTTTTAAGATGGATAGATCCCTTATTTTTATTGATATAATTTTAGAAATTTACAGTATGCATTTCACCTACAAATAATGTTTTCATATCAGCTTGACTTAAATGACATTTCTATTTTGTGTAGTTTTAGTGTAGTTTTCATTAAAAATGTGAGGAAAATTCTTGTTTTTAGTTAAACATGTTTGTGTGCATTCATTTATTTTTATTATTACTTTTTATTAAAGAGCAATCAGGCAATAGCTCTGGAACTGTTGCTGGTATGGGGTATTCCGGGTACAGCGATGCCCTGTCAGATCGTGGGGCTAACCTGAAGGACTACTTCACTAGGAGAGAGGAGCAAGAAGCAAAAGCAGTAAGTCTTTTATTAACTCACCCATCATCAGTACATGTAGCTAGTTTATATGTTAGTTTGTTTATAGTTATGATTACCTGTTTAAATACAGTAATGTGATTACATTATACGGTCATCGTTTTTTTGTTTTTTTTTTTTAAAAAGAGAGAAATTGCATTACATTCTTGTTTCCATGTCTGAAGACACTGGAGTCTGAGGAGGTTGATTTGAATGCGGGACTTCATGGGAATTGGACTTTAGAGAATGCCAAAGCTCGACTGAACCAGTTTTTCCAAAAGGAGAAAAATCAGACTGAATACAAATACAGCCAAGTTGGTCCTGATCACAACAGGTCAGCAGAATTTTTCTTAAAGTATTCAGGTCTTCTCGTCAGGGATGTCTTGTTATTCCCAGGTCTAGGTTTAAGATGTAACACAGCTTTGGCAGTTGTTTGCCGAAGAATGTGGAACAGTCCACCTGTGGACTCTCTTAAACAGTGTCTGCAAGCTTTTATGTATGGGGACAGGCTATTTGTTGATGCTTGATTGCCTTTGTTTTATTACCTGTGAAGCATTTTATGGCATTTGTTCTACGAAGGTGCTATATAAATAAAATACATATTGACTGACTTGCGTGTGTCTTCATAGATTAGTGTGATATTAATAGAAGACTTTCTAGTTCTCCACTATGGCCTGTTACTGCATTGTACCCATCAGGCTTGGACTATCCAGTCCTCCTTTAGTGGTTCTGCCAGTAAGACTTCTCTGTCACAGGCTGTGGTTTGAGTCAGGATTATATTTCTTGTCCTGTAATTATGAATTTGAATTAAATGTAGGCTATTAGAAAAAATTATCCTGGGGTCAATAAAGTTTAATTTTATTGGCTCCTAGAGCATGAGGCTCTTAATCTCAGGTTCATGGGTTAGAGCTCCACATTGGGGGCACATTACTCAAAAATTTCCACCAGGATGAGTAAAGCCAGTCCTGCCCATGTCTTATCTTGTAACTTGAGAGAGCTTTAAACTTTCCATTTTAAGTGGAAAAAATCGTATAAAATATTTTGGCGTACTTATCTCAAGGAGGGATCAAGTTAACAGGTCACTGTTTTATATATAAGTAGTACACATATATATGTATTTCATTATGAAAAATTGCTTTATTAGTCCAAGCCCTTCATTGTTTTTTTTAATAACCAAATGTAGTTTTAAAAAAAAATGCAGTCTGCAAGATGAACTTTTGTCATGCAAAAATAAACTTAAGTTAAATTTGCATTTATATCCTGAAAAAAGTCCTCTTTCTGAGCTTTCCTTTGAACTATGGCAGAGCCATTCAACTGTAATAGTAAGAAAACACTCAATCATTGTTTTTGCTACCTGCTGAGCCTTTCTTATATGTTTGTATAATGGCCAGCTGAACAAATCTGCATTCATTTTTATTTTTGTATATAGATTATTACAAGGGATGACTCAGTTTCTCACTTTATGTTCTTGGCCTTGCCAGATTTCTGTTGAACAGTGTGTACTGTTTATGGCTGGCTGACATTTGAATCTGTTCAAATGTTCAAATTGCTGTTTGCAATAGAATAACAGGTAGCCACAACCACCATTTTTGTATCATTCTTTAAAAAACAAAAACTTTATGCTAAACTATTTTAAAGGTCAGTCATGCTCTGAATATCCATATGTAAGTGTCTAGTAGGGTGCACCATATCCATTACAGTTTCTCTGACAAATGACAGGCATCATCAGGTCCTAAGAATCCATTCATCTGAACTGTTTTCACTTTTCATTCTATGTGTAGAGGTGTATTGGGAAAAATGTCTGTAAATCTTTTTGTACAGTGATTTTTTTTCCAGTTGTTTTGGTTTTCATTTTGTCGTCCTTAATGCTCTGCAAAGAGCTTTGACTTGTTGAGCTAAAAGTCTGAGCTAAAATTTTGTCATGTATTTAGGGACACTTTGCATCTGTGAACTGGTGGAATGTATACTATTGAATGCTATTTCTTTATTGTTTGTGATGTAGTGATATGATACTGAATTTTCCTCTAGTTTGTGACTGCATTCTTGTTCGCTACATTTGTTTGCTTTATAGATTTTGCTGCATGCTTGATGTCTTAACTTTGCTTTATTTTTCTATTACAGGAGTTTTATTGCAGAAATGAGTGTTTTTGTAAGGCAGCTTGGCAGAAGTAAGTTAAATGTTTTTTAGATTTAAATTAATTTGTAGTTTAGTTGTGTGTTTTTTTCACTTCAGCCTAGTCTACCATCACCTTAAGTCAGTGATTTTCATGTGCTTAGGCCAGATATGCACTTGGGGGTTGATTCTCCAATGTACATAAGTCAAAAAAGCCTGTAGCTGTGCTCCATGAGGGAAATATTTCTATTTTTTTTATTTATTTACTTCAGATTCCAGCATTTCAAGTACTATTTTAATGGCTGATCAAAGCTGACTAAATGGCCTGATGTTAAATGTTACAGAAATCTTTGCCCGTGAGCATGGCTCTAACAAGAAGCTGGCTGCCCAGTCCTGTGCTCTGTCGATTGTGCGGCAGCTTTACCATTTGGGTGTCATTGAGGCATATACAGGCCTGACAAAGAAGAAGGAAGGAGAGACGGTGAGTCAGGCACTACTCTTCCCATTGCAAGGTTTAAACCTGAGCTGTAGATGTTGGTTAGCTGCATTGGTAACTATTCATCTGTGAAGAGGGCTCTCCCAGTCTTTCCCACAATGGTACTGGTATTGACTTCAAGAAAAATAATGGGGGGGAAAGGGAAGGAAACAAAATGAATACAAAAATGTATATGTAATGCATTCAGGTCAAAATCCAAAAGATAAAAGTTTTCTTGAAATCTGACAGATGGAAGCTTTTGAAGTGAATATGGCAGATGATTTGCAGAAGCAGCTTGAATGCATGGTCCAGGAACTGGGCATGCAGATTCCACCGCTGGTAAGTTTTGCTTTATACATCTGCCCATGTTTTTTAATTTGTTATACAGTGGTACCTCGGTTCTCGAACTCACTAGAACTCAAATTTCTTGAAAGTCGAACAAACCAGTTTAACCTAGAACTCGATCTGAATATCAGAAGTCGAACCATGAACGCTGACCTAATATAAATTGTACGCGCCAGGAAATGAGTCATACTACAATGCAATTCTTACTTGAATGCCTTCTTCACAGACTGGACGATTAACCAAATAAAGCAGCGCAACATTACAGTAACTAACAATAAATAAACCACTAACTTACGTGCACTATTAGGGCATCTATGTCATTTATTTAAACTTTATTTTACCACGTAAATTAACTGAAAACCAGTTCTCACTGCTATACGTATTCGGGTGAGATAGCAGATTACACATCGGAACTGCCTGGGATACAAACGTCATGCGTGTAACTAAACTCTTCAGCCAATAAGGGCAAAGGTGTGTCATCACGGAGGTAGTTCCAGTTTGTGTAGCCGGGTGAGAGGTCGCAATGCATCTAACCGTAATGCATTGCGTCAGGATCAGAATGTGTTGCTTTAAGCCAGCGCTGTAAGCAAGTCGAACGCACCCAATGACCGGAATGGGGAAACAAACTGAAACGCGGACTTAATACAGAGGACTAATGACAACAACCAGAAACAGCTGATGACATGGGGATCCCACACGAGGTTAACGAGGGGGCGTGGCACACGGAAGGAGTGGACGATCGGGGCAGGACAGGGGTAATGTTGGGATAAGATGTTTATGGTTTTGGAAGCCATTAAGAAAAAAATGCTGCTCTTGTTTTATCCTGTTAATTTTATTTTTATTATTCATTATTTCTTAAGGGAAAAATTTGATCAGAACTCAAACTTTTTAGGATTCGATCCAGAGTCCGGAACGGATTAAGTTCGAGAACCGAGGTACCACTGTATTTCCTTTTTTGCTTATTTACAATGTGTAATGAGTTATAACCAGACAATTTAAGTTTAAAGCTATATTTAATGAAAGACTTTTAAATTTTACGTATGTTCAGTTTGAATGAAAATCCTTTCTGAATTTGAGATGTAGTTGTTTTTGTTTTGCCTTATTTATGCTTTTAAATAAAATATCTCTGCATTCAGCAGTTCCAAAAGTTCAGTCCAGCAAATGAAGTAATTCATCTGTATTGTTAACCAGCACTATGGATGGTGCTCTCAGGGTGCTCCATAAGGAGAGTGGAGAGTTTTACATTTTCCTGCATCCATAGTGTGTGTTCAGTTTGTGTTGAAAACTTTCTTGATCTCTGAAGTGCCAAACTTGGATTTTATAAAGGAGTAAAGGTGACCCTCTCCATGGCTCTGCATCTTAGTGCCTGTGATCAGATGGTCGCCAGTTCAAGTCTCATGCAATGCAAACTTTAAAGCAGAGCACATGATGCTGTAAATCAGAGGTTAATTCTCAATCAATCACGAACTGCGCCGCAAGCATCCATGCACTTGCGTGCATGCCCATTTTTCAGTGTGCAACTAATTGTGTACTGCAAACATTTATCACGCAAACATATAAGAAGCCAAAAGATCACAAATGTATCACATTCATTCAGAGTGGGAAGAGGATTATTTTTTTGTTTACTCAAATTACTCAAAGTCCATATGTCTTATATGCAATGTGAGTGTGGCTTTACCAAAGAAGGGCATTTTGGAGCGGCATTTCAAAACAATGCACAAAAGCTACGAGACCGAGTTCCCTGATAAAACGCAGCCAAAAAGTGCGAGAACTAAAAAGTCAGTTATCAGCACAGCAGTCAATTTTTACTTAGCTGCATCTTCCCAGTGCCAGAGGTCCCAGTAAAGTAGAGAAATCTATTTATTTACACTTTTTCAATTTGGAGAATTACCTGGATTTGTTTGGATTTGCTGTGTGCATGTTAACTATGTAGAAAGGCAATAGCTAGAGTAATAATAGAGTAAAAGAGTAATAGCTATGGCTCCCTATTTGAACTGGTAGATCTCTGCACACTGGCCACTTGAAAAGTAGATCTTGAGTTAAAACAAGGTTGGGCACCCCTGCTGTAAATGTTTTGCACCATTAAAATGACTTAACCAAATGATGGAATTAGTGAGTGTAAACAGTAAAAAAAAAAAAAAAAATTTATACCTGATAGAGAAGGCTATACCACTTATTTACCAATAGTTTAAATCTAGGCTGAATTTTAATCTATAATTTAACGTGCAAATATCTTCTGGGACGTCAAACTGATAAGTCGGTGTGGTTCGGCATATTATATTAGCATATTTTTCTAGTCTTGCTTTCTTCAGACTTCATCACTTGTGTGTTTGAACTTTGTTTATGCCCTTTGTTTTTTCAGTTTGTACTCTTGTGCTTTTGACCTTCTTTAGTTTTTGTACCATGCTGCAGTGGTTAGTGCCACTTTTATATTTGTATCGTTTCCTCCCATTTTTTGTCAGGTAGGGATTTAAGGATTTTTTTTCTATAAGTTAGTTACTTCTCTTCTATTGATCTTCACAATAGAAGAATCTTCTGTTAACTTTTTTGGCATTAACTCATTCTGAAGTCACTTGTGATTGTAGATTATCAATAAGATGTTGTAATGTCCATCCAAGTACAGTGGAAGCCTTTAGTGAGGTTGTCCATAGAATAAGGCATAGACCTTTTGGAGGGGGTGGGGGTGGTATGAAGAATGAATCTTTGACATATTAAAAATTTGCTGCCCTCCTGCAGCCTGAAAGTGCAGGTGCTAGCGTATCCCTGGTCCAGGGGAAAATGGCCCACTTCGAGCCATCCCAGAAGCAGAATGCAGCCGGTGTGGTGCCCTGGTCACCACCTCAGGTCAACTGGAACCCTTGGACCAGCAGCAACATCGATGAGGGCCCTCTAGCATTAGTAAGCTCTCTTACTCTTTGGGTCTTTTTGTGGTTTGTTTATTCCTGTCTATGAATAAAGTGTACTTCTGTATAATGTAATTGTTTACCCATTATGGTGGGTTGTGTGATGATTAAAACCTGTCTGTTAAGAATGCAGTTTTATGCAAGAAGAAACATTCTTCCTTCGTTATTCCTGAATTCTGTTACTTTCTTTAGGTATGAGGTATGAATTTATTTCAATTTATTTTGATGTTTCCAGTGCAGTCCGGAACAGATCAGTTTCGACCTTATGCAAGAGCTAATGTACCAGCTGGAGCAGGATCAAAATCTACAGAAGGTATGATTTGCCCTTAAACTTCTCTGAAGTTTGCCATGATGTTTAAGTTGTGCAAACTTTGGTGTTAACTTTAATAGGTTATCGAAGAACGGCAGCAGCTCCCTGTGAAGAAATTTGAAGAGGAGATCCTAAGAACCATAAAGAACAGTCCTGTGGTCATCATTCGCGGTGCCACAGGGTGTGGAAAGACCACCCAAGTTCCCCAGTACATTCTGGATGAATTCATTAAAAGTGGCAAGGCGTCCGACTGTAACATCGTTGTGACTCAGGTGAACGTTGTTTCCATGTGATATAGATTTGAAAATGTTTAACGACTCATTAAGTATTCCTCTTCAATTCTTTTTTTTTTTGGTAATTTTTGTGCCTAATTTGTTTTTCTGCCCTCCACTTTGGAAACCTGTAAACTATTTCATTACATACGTGCCTGTTTTTTTTCCATTCTTTGATACTTTGTCTCCCTGTGTTGCTATCCCATGTACCCTGCTCAAAATATTCACACAATACTTTCCATTTATGATGCTTATCCATTAAATAATTGAGCAATAGTCTTCATTTTTTGAATGTGAGACGTTTAGTAATTTCTCTTACACATCCAGTATTATATTAAAATGAAAAAATTAAAATGTAAAACTCATCCCTTAGATGCAGCGCTGTATGAAATGACACCGTTTTAACCTCATCTTTTGAAATAATTTGAATCCTAAATTTTCTTGCTATATTTATGTGTAATATACACACACACAGACACACACAATCTTTTTTTTTTTTAACAGAGAATAATGTACTTGAGTGTTCTGATAATCATCACAATGACATCAGTGCAGAAATATTTCGCTGTGTAAAATAATGACAAAGAGGAGTAAGAGTGTTTGTTTTGTCCTTAATATTCACATACAGTAATACAATTCTAAGAGTCTCAGCATGAGCATATGAAACCTTAAAGTTTCAGTTATTTGTTTTTAAAATCCGAGAGACCTTAGCACAGATTCACTTGTGTGATTATTGTATGTAATCCCTTTAGACCAGAAATCATTCTGATTACTGTTTATGTACTGATATGCTATTTCAGTGAACCCTTATTTGTGCAATATGTCCCAAGATAATGAAAAGATGCAGTACTTTTAAAAAAGTGAATAATTAGTATTTTATCATTACAAAGTGCTACAGTAGGGATTCAGTGATAGGCTGCTTAAAGCTTCACTTTGATCCTGTTTGTCTCCATATTGTTGCCAGCCTCGCCGTATCAGCGCTGTGTCTGTTGCTGAGCGTGTTGCCTTTGAGCGCGGGGAAGATGTGGGCAAGAGCTGTGGCTACAGCGTGCGCTTTGAGTCCATACTTCCCAGGCCGCATGCCAGCATTCTCTTCTGCACTGTTGGTAGGTGTCTTCCCATGGGCTGATATGTGGCCCTGTTGATTAGTATTCTTTGGGATTCGAAGTAATGACTTTCTAATGATAAGCAGAGTAATTTTACTTTTGGCCTCTTGAGCAGGCCCTGTTGCTTCAGGAACTGGCTGACCCTGCTCTCTCAATTTGACATGGTTTTGGATAAAAGCAGCTGCTAAATAACTTAATGTAATTAATCTTAATATACTCAAGATTACACTAGTCTTTGCAGCTGGCCTCTTTCTAAAATGCTTACATATGATGATGTAACAGTGCGTCGTATATTGTATGACGCAGTAAGCAATTAACTTTTGTTCCCTTTACTGTTTTTTGTGTAACCATATTATTTACTTAATTTATTCCAATTATTGCTGTTTGACAACAATAATAATAATAACAATAATATTAATAAATGATGCTTTAATTGCTTAAATTGTTTTTACTGTGTAAATTTCACATCCCTCAATATCAAATTTTAATGTTCATGGAGATTGCTTCCATACAACAATTTTGATGTAAAAGATGAGAGGGTTTATAACTGTGGATTACTCGGGTAAAAAGACATGTCAGACTCTACTTCTCCTCTGTCTAATATTTATAGGAGTTCTGCTGAGAAAACTCGAAGCTGGTATCCGTGGAATCAGTCATGTCATTGTGGATGAAATACACGAGCGAGATCTTAATGTAAGTTCACCTTCATTAACAATTCTTTGGATATATGTTTCATTTAGGAGAAAGTTTTTTTTTACATTTGAGATCATAATGATTGAAATGGGAATTATTTTATACTGTAGACAGATTTCCTTCTGGTGGTGCTACGGGATGTTGTCCAGACCTATCCAGAAATACGTGTAATCCTTATGTCTGCTACTATCGACACGACAATGTTTCGGGAATACTTTTTCAGCTGCCCAATTATTGAAGTATTTGGTCGTACATTCCCTGTACAAGGTAAGGTTTGCATGCTTTATATTTACCCCTCATTGTTTTGGAACTGATGCTTTATATTCTTAAATAAATCACCTTAAAGTTATTATGCCCTTTTGTGTTTTCTGTGTTATACAAATTTGGTTTCAAGAAACCTTTGAGAAATGCATCCAGTTTTGTGTAGGAAAGAAAAAGAACTTAAAAATTTTTTTTTCTCCAGAGTATTTCTTAGAGGATTGTATTCAGATGACCAAATTTATTCCTCCACCAATGGATAAAAAGAAAAAGGACAGGGATGTGGATGCTGATGACGATGAGGTGAGGTATATTACATTTTAGTTGTATCACTGATGCCTTCTGTGAAGCTTAGCAAGTAAAGTTAAATAAGCAGCAATTAGTTAGGTAGCATTCTTAAGGATCAAGATACTGCATCATTCCATTTTAATTGAACTTTTTTTATTTTTTCAAATGTTTTTTCTTAATGTTATCAAAATATATTTTCTTTGAGCCATAGCGTATTTTTCTACATACAATTCAGTTTTTTTTTATGAGCTATAGCTTTTTTTGCGATTACTGCTACATAGCTCAACTATAACTTGTTAGAAAGCTCAGAAAGAGCACCTTCTCATTAACCCTCTGGAGTTTGCGTTCCTGCCGGCGTGATCTGACAGAAATTTCGCCAAACTGTTTAAATATACACATTTAAAAAGACACCCTTAGAAACCTTGGACAGTCTACTTTTCAAATATATACTCAGCAAAAAAAGAAACGTCCCTTTTTCAGGACTGTGTATTTCAACAATAATGTTGTAGAAATCCAAATAACTTTACAGATCTTCATTGTAAAGGGTTTAAACAATGTTTTCCATGCATGTTCAATTAACCATAATCAATTAATGAACATGCACCTGTGGAATGGCTGTTAAGACCTTAACAGCTTACAGAAAGTAGGCATTTAAGGTCACAGTTCTAAAAACGCAGGACACTAAAGAGACTTGTCTACCGACTGTGAAAAACACCCAAAGAAAGATGTCCAGGGTCCCTGCTCATCTGCGTGAACGTGCATTAGGCATGCTGCAGGGAGGCATGAGGACTGCTGATGTGGCTAGGGCAATAAATTGCCATGTCCGCACTGTGAGACGCCTAAGACAGCGCTACAGGGAGACAGGAAGGACAGCTGATCATCCTCGCAGTGGAAGACCACGTGTAACAACACCTGCACAGGATCGGTACATCCGAATATCACACCTGCGTGACAGGTACAAGATGGCCACAACAACTGCCCGAGTCACACCAGGAACACACAATCCCTCCATCAATGCTCAGACTGTCCGCAATAGGCTGAGAGAGGCTGGACTGATTATTGTTGAAATACACAGTCCTGAAAAAGGGACGTTTCTTTTTTTGCTGAGTATATATAGGTAGAAACTGAATATATTTTTACAGCTTTGTGATACGAATAAAAATAATCAGAGTGACTGACTTAAGCGTCTGCATCTCGAAGCAGCTCTGATCGCCTGCCCACTTGCAAATTGCACTATTCGCATGATAATAACATGATAATCCGACAGTTGGTATTGGGTAAAGAAATATGTGAATACGCCCATCGTGACTCAAACAAGAGCGCTTGTCTGGGTATTGTTTACACTGATCGGCTACAATATGGCACACGGATAGAGTCTCTGCTGCTGAAGCTTTGCGCCAGTGTTGCCACTTTCAGCAGCGAATCTCATACCTGTATTCATGGCTCAGTGGGCTGAGCCTGTGTGCCTGTAATCACAAGGTCGCCGGTTCAAACCCGCTTTTGAATACGCGGAAATGCTGCTATTTAGAACGTGAATAGCAATCTTCAGCTGAGTGCGGTACTACACGCCCCCGATGCAGGTAAAACAAAGAAAGATGACATGGTTTACATTTTTGCCTATTTGACCTCATTTTAAAAACTTTAATACTTCCGACAATGGAAGTTTTGAAAAGAAGACAGATTACAGATTTAGTCAGTTTTTTTTTTCCATGATTCTACATAATTATTTCAGCGAGGTATAAACTGAAATCCACAAAAAAGATACGCGGTCGATGATGCCCTCTTCCCTAGAGCGTTAATAATAGTGAATTATTTAATTTCCATTAACTCTGCATAGGCACTGCATCATATTTATCACTTTCTGTAGCAACTGCTCAGTTTTTCATTTTTCATTCCATCTACCAATAAACTGTGAAAAGGATTTTATTGTTGCTACTTTTCTTGCGTTTCAAACTGCCTTTGCAAAGTGATGGACGTGGGTTACAGTGACATTCCAGACTGATGGGCCATTGACAGTATGCAAACTACTACAGGTGTGGGGACACCTATCTCATCAATATTTTTTTGACTTTGAGAAAAAGTGTCACTCCAAAGTTCTAACACTTCAGTAATCAAACCACATAAAATTTCAGAATGTCTCTTTCACCTATGTGTAGCCAACCCCTGTGTCTATAAGCTTCAGAGCTCAAAAGTCTTGGCTAGAAATGTTTATAATGTGATTTTTTTTTACAATTTCTCAGCATGTCTGAAATAGGTTTTTGAAAAGTATGTGTTTAAAGTTGATTTTAACAAAAAATAGAATAACATTCTAATTGGTCTCAGATTATTGGTGCTGAGTTTGTGCTGAATAAAAGCACATGTGACACTTTGGGATAAATGATTTTTAGATGAAGTAGTGAAATATTTTAAAATGTCAAGGCATGTCAGACTACCTCAAAGGTGGCTGAGAGGCCTCAGACTCCTGAGTTATTTTTTTTCCTTTTTTTTATATTGTGCTGCCAAACCATTGATGGAAGGGCATGTGATTTTAATGCAGTACACTGTTTAATGTGGCACAGCTATCCTTTCTGTGTGTGCATTGAAAGAAAAACCCGGTGTTTCTATGCCGCCCCAGCTCTGTAAACGGGGAAAAAAACAGTTGTTCGGACCAAACCACGCAAAACAATCCTGCCCCCTTGCTCCAGGCATTCCTCCGAAGCCGCCACTCCTTTTCCTTACTGTTTCCCCAGTCTACCATCCAACAACATGTCTTTAGCCAAACAAAATGCCACTGCCTCTGTCAATTCCTTCCATCATTTACTTTGCTTATCATAAAAAATGCAATGAGAAAATGTATCAGAAATTCTTTTTTTTTTTTTTTTTTTGCTAACTTCATATTAGTTGTTTGCTCCATTTCAAATTTTCTGTCACTAAACCAGTTCCAGATGATCTAGGCAGCTCCTTTTTTAGCAATGAACTCCTCCTCTTCTGCTTCACCTTCCACCATGCTTGTTACAGCAGGCCAGGCTGTAAGTGCATCGTGCACACATGTACGTCATCAATTACAACAACAAACAAACAAATTTATTTTTGTATAGCGCATTATCACAACATTACATCGTCTCAAAGCGCTTTACAGCATCCCCACCCAAAGCCCCCAGTGAGTAAGCAATAGGTGACGGTGGCAAGGAAAAACTCCCGAGAAGGAGAGAACCTTGGGAGGGACCAGACTCAAAGGGGGGGAGCCCATCCTCCAGGGGCCGGCAGGGAGAGTCAAATACAGTAAAATTTGAGAGACAAACGGGGAGCAGGGGGGAGATGACAAGCCGGTGCTAACGCTTCCTCCAATCGCCAGGCAACCAGAAGGCAGGCAGCGGGTCATACTTGACGATTACACAGGCAGAACGGCGAGCTGGATGCAGGGATGTCATTGGTAGTGGCGACATCACATGTTGCAGGGTGTGCTGGACATCTTGATAGATTGAGGGCTTCCGGCAGCACCCCCCAGGAGGAGTAGGGGAAATAAAATATGCAATTAGTCAAAGTAGGGGAGACTATAGGCAGTGCTAAGAGTTAGATGAGTGCAATATGGAGTGCAATGTGCAAGCTCCGGTAGATATGGCTCTGGCAGCATATGTAGGAGGTAGAGGCAAGTGGGAATGCAGGCATGGGGAGTCCCTGAAATGTCAGCACTCCAATCCCACAAGCGATTGTGAAGCTAGAGTGACAGCACTGTCAATTCAGTTTATCCAAAGCCAATGGCACCGATCCCCACCCAGCTCTACACCTCACACTATAGGTCTACCTGGGAGTGAGGAGTTAGCTAGAGCTAGAACTTTTGTCCCTTTAAGCTAAACTAAACAAGTGTGTTTTTAGTCTAGACTTGAATATTGAGAGTGAGCCTGAAACCCGCACATCCGGTGGAAGACCATTCCACAGCTGAGGAGCTCTGTAGGAGAAAGCTCTGCAGCCTGCCGTAGCTCTTTCTACCTTGGGTACTAACAGATATCCCGTGCCTTGAGAACGAAGCAAGCGCAGCGGGTTGTATGAGGTCAGCAGATCAGGAAGGTATTCTGGTGCAAGGCCATTCAGTGCTTTATAGGTTAATAGCAGTATTTTATAGTCAATCCGAGACTTAACTGGTAACCAATGAAGGGAGGATAAGACTGGTATAATGTGATCAAATTTTTTAGTGTTTGTGAGAACTCTGACTGCTGCATTCTGTACCAGCTGAAGTTTATGTAAGGATCCAGATGGGCAACCAGAAAGGAGGACATTACAGTAGTCCAGTCTGGAAGTTACAAAGGCATGTGTAAATTTTTCTGCATCACGAAGTGAGAGCATCTTACGAAGCTTG